TTTTATTTATATAACTAATTGATGTAAATGCTTATTGCTATTATTGCCTTATTAATACTGAGAGTTTATTAGACCGTTTAAATAACCTTCAAATAAGTTATGTAAAAGTAAGATAACTGTTCTACTTTTTAATTCATGTATAATAATTGATAGAGCGCAAAATAAATGCTATTTTCAATTTATTCCAATACTCGATATGTAAATTAAATTAAAAAAAAACTTATGTCATTATTTAATTTTTGAAATTTATTTTTATTACTTGTTAGTTTCTATAAAAAGTATAATCTAAAATATTTACATAAGTTTAAATATTGTACTATTAATTATACTCATAGGATAATTTTTCTTACTTTAAGTTTTTAAAAAATTCATATTATTTTTATATTTATTTTAAACATATCAGTTTTGTTAGTTATTTACAATTATTTTGATTTATTTCATAATAATAAATAAATATTTTATTAGCTATTTAATATAATTATTAGTTTACTTCATTTGTATGTTACGGGTTGTGAAAACATTCAATATAATCAATTGTCTCGATACTAAATAATAGCAACATGTATTATTAATATAAACGTAACCAATATATAAAAAATAAAATCGTTTATTATTTGTTTTAGATCTTCTAGAGAAAAACTAAATTCTATTGCGTGATGTTTTCTGTTAGTGAGAATTTTGTAGTCAACAAGGTCTACGTACACTACATTACATTGGTCATTATTGATGACAATACTTATTTTTCTACGATCGTTATCGCGTCACTGATCTTTAATGTAGGTTAAAATGATTATATTCTGTCTGGACGCTGTTTGTATAAATTAAGTTATAAACTTAAAACTGAATTGAAGGCTTATCAAACACTAGATAGTTCTAAAAAAATAATTAGATGAAATATTAAAAATTAAAGCAATCTTCAATAAATTAATTTAAAAACAAATTTAAACAACAATAGACTATAGCTTATACGTTTTATTATAGGATTTATTTTAATCAAGCCATTACTTTGCCATAGATACTTCGAAGAGTAGAAGTCTCATTTTTTGGTGAATAATACCTCATAATGGACTCAGACCCAATAAATGTCTAAGATGCATTAATCTTTAGGGATTAAATATTTATTTTATTTATTAGATTTTATTCTCTTAGAACAATATTATGATGGAATAAAGGTATTATTTTCATAATGTAATTATTTATGAGTATTTTATCATAATATAATATGTTTATTTATTCATATCATACCTTCATATTACTATTATCATTAAATTAAACCAATTAAATGGTATTTTTATAATTTAATTTATTTGATTATATTTCTTCCTTCTTGATTTTATTAATTAATTCAAAATTTTTCATTAATTATTGTTTATCCAATTTTTCTCTCTTTATTTTTTTTTTCGTCGCAATATTTTAGTTAGTATGTAACGTAAATATTGAGACTATTATTTTTAGTCTAAATAAAAAATTAAAAATAATAAGTGGTCTTATGTGTTTAAACTTTTACAGATTTCCATGATAAAATAATTATAAAATCATCACGGATCAATTGTACCGTAGATACACGGTACATTTATCATACATTTTCATAAAGATAAAATTTTTGATTTTAATAAGCTATGAGACTGTCCAATGTATACGAAAGGGAATAAAATAATATCACTTTGCTACAAAATTTGTGTATTATTTTCATATCATATTTTTTATTTGTTTTTCTTACATTATTCGAGAGGTATGCGAAATATATTATACATTTAGTATTATACACCTCTATAAATAAAAGGTTTAGCAAAAATTTCGAATTTCTAACAAAACTACTAGAATCTGAATAAACTAAAACTCCTGTCCCTTACTGTATAACAACCTAAACTATCCATTTAAATTGAAACACGATAGTGATCGAAGAAATATGTAGAAGTTTATAATAACATCTTTCATTCCTTGTTCCTAAATCATTGAATTCTTCAGTTAACCGTCCCCTCTGACTTTTTTGTATTTGGCGTCTATATTATACCAATTTATTTATTTCTCAATACGCATGCATAAAAAAAATCAAGTATTGGCACACACGCATTCATTGTACAAAATTAATGTACATATTGTGTGCATAAAACAAATCAAAATAATTAAAAGATTTAGGCAATAGATTAAATTAATTAATGTTTTGTCAAAATGAGAAATAGTCAATAGGGTGCACCAACGTTGATATTATTATATGAGTAATATAATATTTCACAATAATACACGTCGAGATTCTTATTTATTCAATAAGATTATAGTTAGTTCATAACGGTACTTAATATAAATATGTTCAAACCTTATGGATATTATTTATAGTTCGTGTTGCCTATAGGACCATGGAATTTAAATGAATTGGAAACGGCATTGTTAGTGTTAATACGGAGTAATGTAATTATATGAATACGGAGTATTAAATTTACAAAGTTGTTACATGGATTTAAGTTTATAATTATACGCCGAATAAGCCATGTCTAAATTTTTGATAACACGTGTCTTAACGTACAAAGAAGAAAGTATTGCATAAAAATATTTTATTACAATAACAGTTATGTGTCGGAGTAAATGTAAATAAAAGTCACAACATTTAATTGATTCGTCATAATTGAACTAAGCGAGTTTATGTAAAACAGTATACCAAATGAGTAAATAAGCATTACACATTTTATGTTGTAATATCACAGAAATCCCATTCAAAATTATGATACCCATTTGATATTATATTTTATATACTCAAAATGCCTTAGAAATTATAGTTTTAAGTATATATTGTAGTGTATGTGTATTTTAGACATAATCATTATGACGATTTAAAACATTCTCGCAGAATAATTTCCTCAAGACCTTAATATAATATTCAATTGTTCGGTTATAATCGTTGTTCATAATATGTATATATTATATGTATTACTTTCTTCGCTGCAATGCAATTTGAAAAATAATTATTGAAGTATACATTACAAATGTTAAATGGCTATTAGTTTTCGCAGCCATTATTATATTATACTACAAGAGTAAATGTTTTCGTCTAGTCATGGGGTTTTTAATTGGGCACACATTTTCAATACCCAACAGTTATCGTGTGTGCACAATATACATATAAAAGCCATACACCGTTTGTATGCTTGTAATGACCGATGTTTTAATTATTTTCACGTCGGCCCGGCATATAGGCGCTAAGTTACAAATCGATACGGAGATTATATAATACGCGAGCGTAAACTTAGCGCGATCGTCACCATTTATTCTAAATGTATGTATGCGAAGTTCTGAATGGTTAGAAAAAAACATTTACTGCGAAAAAGACCAATAGAGTATTGTGAGGTATTAAACAAGAGGAAACGCATTTACGACGTTTGTAGAAATAATTATTGTACAAATAGCCATTTGGATTGTTAATATTTGTCATTTACACCATCACGGTAGAGTACGATTGAGACGTTGTACCTTTTTGACAACACGATTGAGAACGATGTCAGCAGATAAAAGAAACAATATTTTGTACCTTTTAATCCAACGATTGAGAACGATTTTTCGAGCGTTGTTGTCTGTTCGTACAAAAATATACACAACAAAGCAACATTGGCAAAAATGTAGTCACATGATATGTAATATAGTATATACATATTCATATATTATTATAAATAAAGGTAACTCAAACACGAACCGTAGCAATATTGAAATCAATTGAAAACAATATTATCAAAACCATGGCCAGCAAAGATTATGATCGGATAGTTTCGACCATAACTTATTATAAAGAGTTTGAATAGACAAAGGACATCATGAAATATCTTAAAGTCACTGGAAATAGGTATATCTATAAGTAGATATGAATAAATATATTTTAAACTGACAAATAATTGATATCTGTATACGTGTATTTGTATCTGTATCGTGTTATTAAAAAAATTACTGAAAAAAGGTACCGTTCTCAGTAGTGTTCTATCCATAGACGCAACTAGGGGGGGGCAATAGGGTTTTTATCCTCCTTGAGTTCAAAAGTAACACTCCTGTTTTTTTTCAGATCTATATAATCTATAGTAATTACAGTTAAATACCATTTTATTTTATTTTCAGCGATTTCAACACCCCCAATATTTGGGCTCTAGTTGCGCCTATGGTTCTATCCTTCTATAAAACGTAAAATTGTAGTCAACGTAATCGAATTGAACTGTGTTGGGAGTTAAGACTGCGGCATCGGTGAATGAGGTATGCAGATACGAATAAAATGCTTGATGACCCAGGTTCAATATTTCCTTTGGGACAACTTTAAGACGTTACAAACAAAAAACAAGTAGATTTTTCATATTTAGTTCACATTAGTAATGCTTCTCTTTTCTAAGTATATCATGGTATAATATCAAATTATTTTTATCTTATTAGTTGAGTTCAGTTATCATAATGTCTTCAGATCAATTGTTTGTTGGTGCAATATAATAGTTTGCTAATGCCAGAACCGCAAGGACCATTCTACACGGTGTTATTCGGTGGGTTGTAAAAGGCGAGTTTTAATTGTATGCCTGTAATGTCGTCAATTCCAAGACACGATATTTTTCTCGGGCAACCCCCTTTTCCACTGCAAAATTCTAATTTAGATTTTTTGCGACGTTTTGCGGCGTTTCACACTGTTCAAAGGATCAGAACGTGCGGAGATCGCTGTACAAGATGAACGATGGATAAGAGCGAAATAATATCGCGGCGTACCCGGATAGGCACTGCACATGACGGAGCAGTTGCGGTCGCGGCGGTGGCATTGAAAGTAAAAGTAAAATAGTATAATAACAACAAGTAAATAACACCCGAGTGGGAAGACGAGAATACCACGATCGTATTATAACGTAATAATGCGATCCTTACACACACGCGTGGTTTACCCCTCTTCGCGCGGACTACTCTTCATTTCACTCCGGCCGGTCCATCGACGACGGCAGCGGCAGCGGTGGCTATGCGTTACGGTATTGCGCCAGTCGACCGGGCGCGGACAAGGCTGTTGACCCAGTTAATATGGGAATCATAGTAGTAATAGTAGCAGTATTCGTAGTAGTAGTAGTAGTAGTAATAATAAAAAAAAATAATCTATTCTGTTTGTCCGTTCGGCTCGACGCGCGCGACACGACCCCGCAGTCCTTGCGAGTCACTACAACGAGCGATACACGTTCGCGGCCGGGCTCAGTTCTCCGCAACATGGCTCGGTTGCGCGCCGCACCAGCGCCCTGCACATCAACAGGTACGGTGTTTGCATGCGAAATATACATGACCGTGGGAGAACGGAAAGGAAAACGTCCAGCGATATATATGTGTGTGTAATGTACTCGTCGTGAATTTTTCCAGCCGCACGGATCCTGTCGTACGCCGCGGTGTCCTGCGTCCTGACCACGGCGGTCGCCGTGATCGCGTCTCCAGAAGGGAACAACAACTCCACCGATGTGGTCCGGGTGGTCCAGTTCAGCAATAGTCTAGTGCCTCCTTTGTTCAACGTGCGTTGATTTTTATTTTTTTTTCATATTTCTTTACGAAACCGAAATGTCACGTAACAACATTGCAATATCGTAACAATGATTTTATGCTTTCTGTTTTCGGTTTTTCCCCTTTGTTCTTCGGCCACTTACCGGGGTAATCTTACTCGACGTTGTGCGCGCACCGCAGTACTATTCCAGAGCCCGGGACAATCTCGTTCTGGCGCCTTTCGGGGTAGCCACCAGTGTGGCCATGATGATGGAAGGTTTGCAGGGCCGTGCCGCTGAAGAGGTGACTTCTTTGTTCAGACTGCAGGCCAAGGAAGCCCGCCAACAGTTGAGAAGAGGTTTTAAAACGATTTTCGATACTTTCGGGGTAAGGCTCGCAGGGAATCGCTATCGTAATAATACAATATCGTATTATGTTTACGCATGTCACTGCAACCGTTGGCAAGATCCAACGGGTAAATATATTGGGTTGTTAAGCGGTCATTGTATAACATCATAATATGTGGTATTTTGAAACTACTCTACGTTTAATTTGAAACGAATCTGTATTTTTTTTTTAAATTTTATACAGAGCGATTCGGATGGCGATTTTTCCGGTTCCTATAACAAAGCATCTGTGACCAGCTCCCGTGTTATGCCATCGTCGTACATCAACAAACTTTCGAAATACTATCAAGCTAATGTTACTACAATGCGAAGCGATAATTCAAATAATAGCTTAAGTAAGTATCCTTGAAACTTTGATATTTAATACATACATATATATATATATATATATATATATATATACGAGTACTTCAGTTATAATGGAAATTAAATTGTCTTTTATACTCTGCCTATACTCATAAATTAAATTTCATAAATCATTTATATCTTATGAATCTTTACAAAGATTTTTTTTTTGGGAGTATAGTTCATACATTTTCAATTGAATTCAGTTAAACAATTTATAAATTTCATGGATTTAAATTTTATATTTATCAACATTGAATTGCTACATTTTTAACCTTGTCCAATAGCCTGAAAAACATTAAACTTTTATTATTTCACTTATTTAAGTCTTAAAAACCGCAATGCAGTAGTTGAAATACCACCCCATGTTATATAAATATTGGATACAAAAAATTAATTCTATGTTGACGTCTTTTTTATACGTGTTTAAATTATAACTATAATAAACTGTAATTTATTATTGAATAGTATTTGTTCATGTTATAATTTTAAATTTTACTGTTATGGTACAGCGAGTAAAATAACTAAACCAAATTTATTTTAAATAATATGATTTAGCGTTTAAATTAATAGAATTTATAATATATATCTGAATGCGTAGTATCAGTAATATATAATATAATTTAATTGTTAAAAGGTTTTTCATTCTTGTTTGAAAAAACACACTTTTATAAATATAAAATACATCAGCCGTCATTATTATTTTTATTAAACAAATTACTTATATATTTTTTGTTGGGAATAATTTAAGTAAAAGTATTCAATAACCTATTACACGACTATGTGACATATACATATAATTTTTTATTTTTATACTTAACCTACAAGATTTCTGATCATCGAGTGTGTATTAGTGGTATTGGTAGGTTTTTTATAGGTTGGTCGGTAGGTTGAAATATGGCACATTTTATTGTTAAGTTCTCTGATAGATAGTTATCCATGCAATAAATTTGTAACGCCGAGCATAGGTGAACCGTAGTGCCGAAAGGCAACCGACTAATCACTGTACTCAGACCCGTACTGGTTACTCTTATGGGATAGTTTTGAAAACATGTAAGGACGTTTTAATTTTTGTTATTTAATCCTTTAGGTTAAGGTGCAATATATATATATATATATCAAGTTATATTTATTTTTAGTTTGGAGAAGTTAGCAAAATTAAGATTCTTTAATTTGTAATCTATTGCACCTTATCCTAAAGGATTAAATAACAAAAATTAAAACAAGAAAATGAGTGTTTATTTAAATATATATATATATATATATATATAATTATAAATCTTTGTTTAATACAATTAAAAATATTCTTTTACATTATAATAAAATTATAAATTCAGAAAAAAAAGTTATTAAAATTTCGAATGAAAGTAATATATTTACTCGTATTTCTTGACTGGAAGAATCATCTTATCAATTATGATTTCTACTAACTTGATTTAAAACATATCATTCACATTGCATCAAAAATAAACATTCTGCATTTTCCTGTGAAGCTGTATGCCTCAATTTTGTTTTTAAAAGCTTTACCTTCGAGAGTGTTCGTTCACATGTGTGAGTAGTCGAGTAAGTATATAATAATTTTAATCAACAGTGATGTTCGGTGATATTTTATATTGGGTAAACATTAAAATAAAATTTAAAATTATAACTTAAAAAAAAATGTTATTTTATTGATAAAAATTACAATCTTAAATTAATTTATAGATAAAATCCATTTGTCTTTCTACTTTTAATTTTCATGGACGCATCATGCATCTATCTGGTTGTCCAGTGGGTCAGTACGTACTTGACTGTACCTTACCATGCCGTACAAATTATTTTTATTTAATATTCATCAATTTATCGAAACTGCTAAAACTCAATACAAAATTTACATTAGTATATGATATAAACTGAATGTACATGATGTGTATTACAAAATTAAGTTTCATTGAAGAAACATTGATTTATTTTTTTCATTATTATTTTTTATACGCATAAATATTTACGAGTATATTTCATTATAGGTATATTATATTGTGTACTGATTTTGAGAATATTTATTTTTAGCCGATATTTTAGAATTACGAAGTGACACAGGAATAATCAGCCACTGGAAAGATTACCAAAAACTTGCCACGTACACTTACTCATCATATCAATCATCAGCACCGTTTACGAAATCTGACGGTTCAATTGTTCATGTCCCGATGATACCACAAATTGGAATGTTCAAAATTGGATACGTACCACAATTGAAGTGTTTAGCCGCTGAGCTTATGTTTGAGGTAACTTCGTGTCTCGTGATAGTTTTAGATATCGTATATAGTATATACAAATATAGTTGGTGATTAAAGTTAAATATCGGTACTTGAAAGAATAGTTCTAAAATTATAAAATCGATGCCATTAACTGTCACGGTATGCAACTCTACGAGCTTGTAATAAGGAAAATATGTAGTCACTGTGCTATTGCTGTAGGAAGCTTTTTCCTTCTACTCATCATATAGTTTATATATAATATATATATTATATATCATATAGTTTATATATAGTGTATATATATATATATATATATATGATATGATTAAAATCTATTTTGGTAAAAATATTTATTATTTATTTATTTTTCGTAAAATGAGGAATTTAATGGGATTCCTATTGTTTTTTTTTCTTGGAAATTTCTTATGGAAAATCTATACAAAACGTTTTGTGTAACATTTTTTTTTTATATAGGAATTTAGATAAAAAAAGGTACTTTAAATTGGTAATTCTTACTAAATTTCTTAGTAATTTTACTCACACAGAGGTAAAAATAAAGAGCGAAAAATGAGTAACAATTTTTTCAACAAGAATTCATACGTCAATTTGAAAAAAATAAGTTTATTTGAGTTTGATTCCATAAACGAGTAATGCAAAGCGAACCCTGAACTATTATATTTAGCTTTAAAAAAGTTAAAAGTGCACAATTCAACTAAACTGTTGTTTATTAACATTTAAAAATAGGGACGTTTTATTTTTGTATTTTTAAATCTTTAATTAGGTATTTAATTTTTAAATCAAGTACAAAATAGTATTACATAATAGGCCTTAGTATAATTAACCTTCTTGTAGAATTGCTTTTAAATACGATTCTTTATCGTTACTTTCAAATTTAAATGAATGTATATATATAAATATATATAAACATAATAACAACGAACATAATTTCACAACAAAGGACAGCACCCGGAACTAAAAATATTCGTTAGATCTCACCGGTCAGTATATTTACAACATCGTAAAAAATCCGGCTTCAAATCATTCAAAAACAATCTACTATCTATGATATACGATTTAAAAATAAGTATTCATTGCGTTAAATTGATTAACTGATCGATGAAGAATTAATACATACATAATTATGTATAATGTTTTTTCGTTGGCAATACAATTATTATTATATTATTAATAAAACTAAGGAATACAAATGTATTATATTACATTTTTTTTCTTATGAACATACGAAATTAATTGATTAGTCATTATTTTAAAATGCTAAGAACGTTTATGAACGCTAGGTGTGAGTTTTTGGCCCTTAAATTAAGGGCATGGTAATGTTTACGTTAGTTTTAACCTCATGCGTGTGTTTATATATTAAACATGAGCAGACGAGTCAAGTTTAATGTCCATGACACTGAATACCGCGCGTGTAGTGTAATTAATAACTAAACATATTTTCGCATCGTGAATTTCACTCAACAATGAAGCCACGTGTTAACATGTCATATCACACATTAGTGGTGGTTTTACGGAGGGAGGGGGTCCAGGGGGTTTTGACTCCCCCTAAGTCACGCGTTTAGGTTTTGATTTATTATACGAATATTTTTTATGCGGACATACGCTAATATATAAATCTAGTTATTTCAACCATATGTCCGTATATTTGAATGTTTGTTACACCTATTGCTTATTTAGGTATTTATATTTTACTTGAAATTACGACATTTTATAATACGTATTTTTAAGATAATGTAAAGGACCCCTCCTCAGAAAAAATTAAAAAATCGCCACTGTCACATACTGAGTGTAGGTAGAATGTCAATAATATTCAGGCACATGTTTACGGATAATTGTGAAGCGTAGACATTACAGTTATTCTTAAAATAAATATTAATAAAATTTAAATTTTCGGCGCGTTATCGCGTTGCAGAACGTAGTAAATCATCTATGTGTAACTGTACATTTTACACAGAGTCTACTAACGTTTTAGTCGATTTAAATCTGAAAGCGTGATAAAAATGCGTATACTCGATGGAAGTAATCCTTGATTTTAATCTCAAAAACGTATATAAAGTTTTCACGGTAAACTATATAATAGACCTGGACTATAAATATAAATAGTACAACTTTATCTGAAACTCAGGATCCTATTTACCATTAGCCAGGATAGGCAAATGCCAATGGCGCCCGTCATTATTATTATTATTATTTTTAGAATACATTTTTCGTTGTATAAAATTAATATAAACAAAATATAATATTAAAAAAAAAAAAAAAAAAATCAGTATGAAATGTCATATTTTTTATTTTGCCTGAGGGCCTTGAAATCCCTAAATCAGGCCATGTTAAAATTGTTAAAATGAATAAATTGATTAATGATGTAATACATACGTTGTATACGTTTCGAACTTGTGGTGAATTATAATAATATCGTTATTATTTCCAGACCGACAAAGTCAGCATGCTCATTATGATGCCAGACGATGTGAATGGCTCCGACTTGATGATAGAGCGTCTCTCCAAGGACAACTTTCTGAATATCCTGGACTCGTTGGACTATCAGAACACAGAAGTGCTGTTGCCGCAGTTGGTCGCGTTCACCGACGCCTTGGACCTGGAACCGTTTTTCAAGAATCTCGGCGTGAAAACAGCCTTCGACCAGACGGCGGGCAAAACCAGTGGCGGAAATGGTACCGGAGATAGCGGCAACAGCACCGCAAAAAACGTACAGTTAATGACCGGCCGCACGTCATCAAAGTCTCCCACTGTCACGTTGGTATCGATGAAACAGAACGCGTACTTTTCAATGTCGTTCATCACCATCAATTCGGTCGGCTCCGTCGGTACTAAGTTAGGTATGTCGGTAAACTACGCAAACACGCAAGTAAGCGTTCTTATTATACATCGTAAGAGTCCACAGTGACAAAAATAACTCCTCGAGTATCGGTCGAAAAGTAATTGAAATATACAAAAAATTGAACCGGAAGCCATTCGATCTTTCGATTTAGATAATTTTAAACATACCACGATTAATATAATTAATATTCAAACTTGTAATTTATAAGTGAATAGATATCATAATACCACTTGTAACTTGACATATTTTTAAATTTTCTGATTGATGCTCTTGTACGTGGTTCAACACATAAACACATAAGGTCGCGGGTGAATGTATCGATGGAGGGCATGCATTTTAAATGTTTTCCACGAGTATATGTTTTGAATAACCGTGAAAACACGGGATTGCCGTTTAAAATTTAATTATTATTCAAATCGTATTTGTATATTATAGTGTTATGGAAGCCGTATTAGCAAATAATTCGAATGGTGTGTTTGTACGTGATTTTTCTGACAAAGGTCACTTGAATAAATGTGTTATGTGACCATACTGCGGAGTTATACATTAAAGTGGCTACATTTTAAACGTCTTTAAAACATAATTAAATGTATAGCCTCTGCATACGAATTGCTTTGTAAACTATAAATGTCTTGAAATATGTTTTATCCTTTATTTATTTGTTTCCGTGATGCACTGATGCAGGAAAACACATTTGATAGATTAGTAGATAAAAACAATTATTTAGTATTGAATATATACATATAGGTCTTCTCTGGCTTTCTGCAAAGTAGATCAGTATCTGACAGACATTGTTTACCCAGTTTTTGATTGCATGAATATTGTATACATATTGTAAATACACTAGCATTTTACATTTACATTTTTACAATCCTATAATTAAATTATGTTAATTATTAATATATTATACATAGAAGTATATACATACAGTAAGCATACACTGGTATATGCATGCGCAGACCTGTATTTCTGGGGATGACTACAATACTTTTGGGCCCTATATTAACAAAACGTGTAGATATATTTAATAAATTGTGTTGTATAAATAATTAAATAAACATAACTTTTATAAATAAGTACTTTTAAACATAATTGTTTATTAATGTTGTAGTATACTAGTCTCGATGAATATGTGGTCTTCGAATCCCGTATATTTTTCTTAGATAGTCTCAGTTATTTATGATTTATAATTTTGCAGTCAATTATAGTTGTTACATTATCAAGTTTTTTACTTGAAAATTTATTTTTTTTTCTATTACGAAACATCATTAATTTTTTTACCGAATATTTTAGAATAAATTTAATTTAATTGAGCAACATCAGTTCGTATTTTAACTTATTCTTATTTCCCTTATTATTTGAATTAAATAATAGTGCTCCATTTAAAAGATTTCGGGAAGTTAACCCAGCAACCCTCGTGTGCACGCATATGTACAGAGGCTATTATTTCGGCCGCGCAATAAGTCCAAACAACCAAGATGAGACCGTTGAGATACGCAGGTATTATGTCTCATACCTATGGTCATATGAGTTCAACCTTCTGAAAATTTAATATTTCAAAGTTTTCTATGAGACTTGCAAATAAAATATATAAATATATACTATACAATATAATAAATATAATACAATAAAACATGTTATTTATCAACATTTTGCATTTTTTCAAAACCCCTTCGAAATTATTTTCTGTGTTCGTCCCTGCTGTGTGGTATAGTGAGTAACGAAAAGAGAGGTTTTGAGTACAAGCAACTAAAAAGACATGTCTCATGAATCATTTAATTGAGAATCACATTAGTATAGATTAGTTATAGACGAAGTTATCAATCTTTCTGCAGAAATAAAAAATAGAAAAAATAGATTTAACTTAGAAGTTGATATTGGTATTAAATAAGTTTGCAATTTTATAATGTATTAATAAAACTAGTGTTAATAGAAAATAAGTATATATAACTTTGCTCGATATTACCATTTAATTTAATTATTTTGAATGTTGTTTTCCCCAATCCAGAACCCAAGCTTTGCTACTGCAGTAGATGATATGTTTAATTTGTTTTAGGAATCCAGCCATCCACTCAGAGACAAAGGCGTAGTATCTCTTCCAAAATAGTATTTGATCGACCGTTCGTGTTTTTCATATTTAACAAACTAACTGGACTAATAATGTTAGCCGGAAAAATTACAAATCCAACCCAAGTGCCTTCTTAATTATTAATAAATACTTGTACATTTACAAATAGCTATTGTCATAGAATAAAAAAATATAAGTAATATATGTTTGCATTTAATTTAAAATATATCTGTGTTTTATGTAAGATGTGTAATAATATAATCAGTAATAATTGTATTCAGGAAATTTCACTATTTTTTTATACACACATTTTTAATTTTTTTATATTTAATGTTTTTTATAGATTTTTATATCATAATTGTACATAATATACCATACGATAAAAATATATGTGTAATGTTATAAACATAAGGTATTCTAGAGCCGGTAACCATACAACTTACAAGAATAATTTACGTAAAAGTCTATTAAGTTGTTATTACAGTGTTCGAATATTATTTTATCGTCATCCTATATTTATTTGTTTTCAAATTTTAATAAAATATTGTAAAAATATTATTATTATTATTATATATGCATAATTTATGTGTAGTACCTACTATAAACAAATTTTATTTGAAGTATGGAAAAAAAGATAGGACTACCGCATAAACGGTGGAACTCTTAAGGATGCTCGGTGAAAAGAGGTCCCTGCAACTTTTAGGGATCCGGATGGGTTATGTAAAAATTATTATCCTATGATGAAAATATAACCGTACATATGAACAGGTTTTTATAACCATAAGAAAATTTAAAATTAACAGATACGTGTAAGCTAACATGAACTTTTAATTAATGTTTCCGAATCGTTATTAAAATATTTTAAAAACATTATTATGTAATGGAAACTGAAATGTTTAAAAGTTGAAATAAAAGTTTTCCGTAGTATACGTTGCACTAATAACGTTAAATTTAGAACTATCAATCATAACTATCAACCTTAACAATATGATGTTATTCTATTTTAGAAAAACTACGAATTTGAACAAAATAATTTATTACTAGGGCACGAATTTAAATGGCCTTAAAATATTAAAAAAAGTGGTCTTTCAAAAAGTGCATTAATGATTTAAAAACACTAAAAATGCCAAAAAAAAAAAAAAAAGAATGAATTCAAACCTAATTTAAAATTTTTTCTTATTTAGCAACATAAATAAAAACTTTTTTCAATTTTATTTTTGAATGTTATTAAAATCGGAAAACAAGATGGTTGAATAAAAACATATTACTTAAACATACATATATAACATGTATATAGTAGTATATACTTATATACATAACAAGAACATGAGGTTAGTGTGACTCGGGAGGAATATTTTCCAACCTTTTTTTTAAAGAGGGGGG